AAAATGATCCCAAACTGTAGAACGTCGCTTATTGGTGGTACTCGCCATGAACCTTGCCAAAATACTCTCACTCTCACTCTCCAAATCTCTATCTCCTCACAACCCCATTTTGAAGCATAATGATGCATCTTATATAGCTGGTATGGCACCAAACCACACAAATCTGTAAAACCTGTCAAGCTGTCATTGGCTCAGAATGCATTGAAACGCCATGAGCGTTGACACACACTGAAAGACTATGAGCCAATGAAAAGCTTCGAAACATTTTGAAGGAATGAAGCGCGAAGTCTAACCAAAAATAAAAGCATGAAACAGGAAGCAGGACACAAACCACAACATTAGGATCTTTTCATTTTTACCAGAAGTTTGTATAATCAGAATGTGCACTGATTAAAACTCAAATCCTCAAATTAAAACTCATTGTCTGTAAATATGTTGTTATTTTCGTGCTGAGGTTGGTTCCTTACGTTAACGTGTGCTTTGTGAATTAGCGTTCATGTTCATTTGGAGTTCATTTCCAGATAGAATAGTGTTAGCCATGCTAACATTAACGGATAGAGAAGCTCACCTTTGGCCTGTTAACTGTGGTTATCCTCTGGGTATGAATTTACAGTGCCTCCCAAGAATGATAATGATTGATATGCTTCATCTGAATCACACGAATTAGTTGTGTTTTTATATAATGTCAATGCTACGTGGGCTGCATTTAGGCTAACGCAGCTTGAAACATGTCATTTAGGTCGATTTTAGGTTGTTAACTATTAAGATCAGAAAAAGACAGTACAATTTTAATAAAGGTTTTGTGCCCATCAAGTTTGATTAGCTGTGTTGTCAGACATTTATTTATGGAGCTCCTATATCCTAACTCATCTTATGCCCAACATTATACTGTTGTAAACACCTGTTTATATATTCTTTCAGTAAGTAAAGCTGAGATAAGTAGGTGACGAACTGTGAGATTTCTTTCTTTACTAACACCAGTGTTGCCAAAATCCAAACAACTACAAGACTTTTTCTGTCGCAGGACCATCTGCTACAGTGTCCTCACTGTCCAAAGCAACTCAGTAGGAGGGTTCACAAATAGATGGTAAATGATGTAGTTCATAGTTCCAGTGATCCTTTTAAACCTTTCTGTCATATTCACGGGGACTATTTCTGTTACACCTAAACTATTAACTGAATACTTTTTGTCATTCTTTCTTCCTTACAACCTTAGCTCTGTTGTCTGTCGAGAGACCCACGCCTGTTCCTCAGGAGCTGATGTTTCTTATGCCAGAACCAGCAAGGGCCCTGTCCACAGAGTCAGCCATCACAGTATTAGGTGCTTATTAGTTCAACTGTATGTGCATCTCAAAAATATCTACTGTATGTAGTGGCCATTACAACTGTTTTCAATCCCATGTGTTCTTCTTCAATTGTCATAAATCAGACACAACCTTTTGTTAACTTCCTAAAGTGTTAACTCCTAAAAATAACTATGTGACAGATGGTGAGTTTTCAAAAAAAAAAAACACTCCACCATACTGCACTGAGTTTCAAGGACTTCATTGTAGAGATTATGTGTCATCTTGTATTCTTTTTGTTTTGTTGTGAATAATAATTAGATGTTTAATATTCTCTGTATTGCCAGAGCCACTTATTTATTTTTCTCCTGAGAGCCCTGCAGTGTCCAGTCAGCCTTAACTGCAACCACCAGCTGCAGCAACAGCTCAAAGTAAATGTTCAAATGTTGGTTTTGAACATGTTAAAGAAATACAGTGAAGTCAAAAACAGAATTGTAATGATTTACAATTTCTTTTTTTCTGACTAGTCCAGCCATCATGAACTGACTCCCTCCACAACTTCTTGGCTAAGACCATGGTGTCAGCCAGTGGCCATCTGTACAGCAGCAGAGGATCTGGATGAAGACAGAGTCATCACTACACCTCCTCAACACAGCTTATAAGATAGAACAACACATGTTAACATGATGTGAAAAGCAGCATTATCAGGCTATTTGAGGCAGTCAGCTGACACTAAACTGCTCCTGAGGATCCTGAGGTGCCCTCTGCCCACCTAAATTATATAAATCAAGAATCAACTCCAGAGGAGTTATTCATAAGAACCTAATTAAAATTAAGACTACTCCTCTTATAGTAGAAAGTAATAGGACAATCAAATGTGGACTATTAAATATCAGATCTCTCTCATCTAAATCTCTGTTAGTGAATGATTTGATAAGTGAACATCACATTGACTTATTGTGTCTTACTGAAACATGGTTACAGCAGGAAGAATATGTCAGCCTAAATGAATCCACTCCACCTAGTCACAGTAACTGTCACATCCCTCAAAACACAGGCCGAGATGGTGGTGTGGCAGCAATCTTTGACTCAAGCCTATTAACCAACCCTAGACCTAAACATAGTTATAACTCATTTGAAAGTCTCACCCTGAGTCTCTCACACCCAAACTGGAAAACTCAAAAGCCTGTTCTATTTGCTATTGTATACCATCCACCTGCTCCTTATTCAGAGTTTTTAAGTGAATTCTCAGACTTTCTGTCTGATTTAGTACTTAGTACAGATAAAATAATCATAGTAGGCGACTTTAATATTCATGTAGATGCCGACAATGACAGCCTCAACAATGCATTCTGTTCATTATTAGACTCAGTTGGCTTCTCTCAAACTAAATAAACCCACTCACTGTTTTAATCACACTCTTGATCTGGTTCTGACATATGGCATCAAAACTGAACACTTAATAGTTTTTCCCCATAACCCTCTTCTGTCTGACCATTTTCTAATAACTTTTGAATTTAAATTAATAGATTATACTCTATGTGGGAAACAATTCCACTACAGCAGATGTCCATCTGGCAATGCTGTTACCAAGTTTAAGGAAATAATTCCATCTTTATCTACTTCAGTGCCGTTTGCCAACACAGTGGAAGGAGGCCACCTTAACTTTACTCCAACACAAATCGATAATCTTGTTGATAGTACTGCAGCCTTCCTGCGTAATACACTTGATACCATTGCCCCTCTGAAAAAGAAGGTAGTGAAACAGAGGAGGCTAGCCCCATGGTACAGCTCGCAGCTCTGCTCCCTAAAGCAGGCATCACAAAAAATGGAAAGGAGGTGGCGCTCCACTAAGTCAGAAGAGTTTTCTATAGCCTGGAAAGATAGTTTAATAACATATAAGAAAGCCCTTCATAGTGCCAGAACCACATTTTATTCATCACTGATTGAGGAAAATAAGAACAACCCCAGGTTTCTTTTCAGCACTGTAGCCAGGCTGACAAAGAGCCACAGTGCTGTTGAGCTTAACATTCCCTTAGATCTCAGCAGCAATGACTTCATGAGCTTCTTTACAAATAAAATCACAACTATTAGAGAAAAAAATTGCTCGGACCACTCCCACAGCTCTTGCAGATGTGCCATCTACTACAATGGCTTTAGAAACATCTGTAAGACCTCATTTATACTTGGACTACTTCTCCCCTATAGATCTATCTGAGTTGACCTCAACAATTGCTTCATCTAAATCATCAACATGTCTCCTGGACCCCATCCCGACCAGGCTGCTCAAAGACGTCTTTCCCCTAATCAACACATCCATACTAGATCTGATTAACCTCTCTCTATTAACAGGTTATGTTCCACAGGCTTTTAAACTTGCAGTAATTAAACCTCTACTCAAAAAGCCTACTCTTGACCCAGGTGTCCTAGCTAATTATAGACCAATATCCAATCTCCCATTTATTTCCAAAATCCTTGAAAAAGCTGTAGCAAAGCAGTTATGTGACCACTTGCACAAGAATGATTTGTTTGAGGATTTTCAGTCAGGATTTAGAGTCCATCATAGTACAGAAACCGCATTGGTGAAAGTCACCAATGATCTTCTCCTAGCCTCGGACAAAGGACTTGTCTCCATACTTGTCCTCTTAGATCTCAGTGCTGCTTTTGACACCATTGATCACAGCATCTTACTGCAGAGACTTGAACATGTTATTGGGATTAAAGGAACTGCGCTAAGTTGGTTCAAATCTTATTTATCAGAAAGATTTCAATTTGTTCATGTTTCACAACCACAATATCCCAGTTAACTTTAAACCAGGGAACACCCTGTGGCAGAGACTGGTCCACCTGAAGGACAAAACACCCAGACATAAACAGAGTGATGTGGTGTATGCAATTAAGTGTAGTCAGGAGTGTAACGACTTGTACATTGGTGAAACTAAGCAGCTGCTTCACAAACACATGGCCCAACACAGGAGGGCCAACTCCAGTGGACCAGAGTCAGCAGTCCACCTCCACCTGAAGGACAAAGGACATTCTTTTGAGGACAGTGAAGTCCAGATCCTCTCCAAAGAACATCGCTGGTTTGAGAGAGGAGTTAAGGAAGCTATTTTTGTAAAAAATAGAACACCCCTCACCAAATAGGGGTGGTGGACTAAGACACAACTTGGTCTTCTAAGGACTGAAACACCACCGAGGGGGATAAATATCTCCGGCTCAACACCAGTCAGTCAGAACTGATGAAGCCTCTTGGATGAGAGGTGAAACGTCTTCGATCTAGAAATCTAAGTCCAGTTGATTTTTCTGAGGTTATTTCATTTTACTATGACCTGGATGACTGAGAATCTGCACAGAAAAGTAAGGTCTAGACCTTACTTTGTAAAGTGTCCTTAGATGACTTTTGTTGTGATTTGGTGCTATACAAATAAAATTTGATTTGATTTTGATTTGACTATTTAACTAAATATTCCAGTCTGAGACCAGAACAGTGCCTCTGTCATTTTGGAATGGTCTTGTGTTCAATGTTAGTGGATCTCCTGGTTTACAAAATGCTGTCCCATCTAATATATTAATGGGGAATATGAATATTTCAACTAATTA